CCAGCTTCTGTGGACAGAAAAAGAAGATTCAAGGAGGGGGACCAGAAAACTCCCATGGTCTGTCTTCTTTATGTTAGGGACTTATCAGAAAAAAAATCAGAAAATCTCTGGTACATACAACATCAAGACAATATTCAGAAGCAGCTCCACACTATGGAGAAATCTCTGCTGAGCCAAGCCTAAGACAGAGGAGAACATAACCAAGAACTGTGTATACTCCATTCCTTGCAGTTGTGGCAAAGAATATAAAGGTGAAACTAGATGCCCCTAAAACTAAAGCTGGAGGAACATTGAAAAAACAAATAGGGGTGAGACAATATAATAAGGAATAGCTGATCATGTATGGAAGAAAAGCAGTGTCATCAACCCATGTGGAAGAAGTAAAAATACTGGACAGAGAGAAAGTCAGATGTCTGAAAAGATCAGCAGATGTTATGCAGACCTCCTTAGTAGGCCTAGCATAGAGATCAATACGATATTGGAGCCATTAGTAAATAAAATGATGTGACAGCAAAGTCACTACAGCAGCAGTAGACAGGTTAAGTTTAAGGCTGCAAGTTCTCCATTTGTCACAAAGGAAAATAGTCTAATGGATTAAAATGTTGGCTGATGAATTTGATGACATAGTAATTGTGAGTTCAATCCCTGGCTCAGGTAGTGTGTACTTGGACTCACTGGAAATGGGGCAAACAATAATTGAGCAGTACTAAATAAGAACTAGAGGAGACGTCTTTGGATGTGGACAAAGTGGGGTGAGAACAATCTACACCTGTAGGTTAATTAAATGGCTGAGTTCAAAATTCCCTCACCTGAAGGACACAAACATTCAAAACAAAGATAGAGAATTGTCTGCATGTAATTCAGTCAGTCAGTTTTGTGCTATGCATGATACACGCTTAGGCGATCATTTATCTTTTGATACATGACTGACGAGGCAGATTTTTTTCCCTCAGTAAGTTACCATTTCTTTCTGCAGTAGACCAGTTGCCATTCAAGGCTATAGAACCCAGTCTGTCCTGCTTTTTATCCATAGCTGGGTGAGAGAGAAGAAGAGGATTCATACCTTTCCCAAGGGTATTAGCAAGTGAATGTAACGGATTTGACTGGAATTCGAACATGGCTCTCTGATTTCTCAGTCCGAGCTGCTATCTATTACTCTATCGTTAAGTAATTAAAACATTTCGTAATTCCTAACTTAGATCTATTTACAAATTGATAATGGTGAGATTAGACATTTCCATGCAAAAAAACATTTGATATCCTTTGACTGGATTGTAAGTCTTACTGTCAGCTGAAATTTAAAAAATCTTTTTCTTAAAACAGTTTTTAATTGAAAATAGGCTTCTCCTGTTCAGTTATTATTCTTTCCAGCATTGAAGGGAGTTTCCTTCCTAACCTTTTGTTTAAAGTAGTGAGGAAATCCAACACTTTGAGTATCATTATTTCCTTCTAGTTATTCTAGCTATACATTTTAATTGTTGTTGGAAGTCTTCTAGTGATGTGGTTTCTTTGCAATTCTATAGGAACAGTCTATAAGTTCTGCTGCAGGATTGTTTTTTTTTTAAGTGGATTCTTTAAAATTAAACAAATAAGAAGTCAGACCCAGATTGAATTTTTTTTTTAATATTTTTTTTATTGATCATTGCCAAAGGGTGTGTACATGTGTAACTGGATATGTACAAATAATGAAATCAAAAATAAAAAATGTGTTAAAACAAGAACCATATATTAGAATTTTCTTTTAAAAAATTTTTCATCCATAGAACTTGGCAGAAAGAAAGTCATGATGCTCATTCTTTCAGTTTTAAAATTTGAAATACTTGCACCCCAAATCTGAGGACATTTAAAAAGTGAAAATGTTAGTCATTTAGTAAATTGTGTTGTTTCTACAATAACAAGAGATGAAAAGGAAAACAACAAACAAACATACATTAAAAGGACAAAATACATTATATATAATGTTCATATGTATATGACATTATATATATATATATATATATATATATATATATATATATATATATATAGAGAGAGAGAGAGAGAGAGAGAGAATATACTAAAAAAATGTGTTTTTATGTAGTAGTTTTATTTATTCTTTTACTTTTTCATACAAGTATTGTTTTAGTCACAGTCACACAGGGGAAAGAAGCCAATCCATTGAATAGTTTTAGATTTGGCCAACAAAGTCTGACCAAGCCAACAAAAACAGTTAGATAATATTTTTTTTTTAAATATAACTTTTTTTTTAAAAAACAAAACAAGATCAAAATGAACTAAAAGCTCTTCAAAACTTTTTTTTTTTTTTTTCCATTTCAGTACTTTATTATTAACATTTACACATATGTATGAGTGTCTTACATGACATAAACTTCATATCAAGGACTGCGTACATGGGGACATCTCCATTTTTGTTTAAATCAAATCAGTTATATTAATTTAAAAAGTTTACTTCTTTCAGCAAGGAGCCACAACCTGTGATTGCTAAATGAAATCTTACAGAAAAGTGATAAAACTATCTTCCTTGCTTCCTAAATAAAACCAGTTTATACACATAACATCACTCAAGTAACAAAGGTTATATATATATATATATATATATATATATATATATATATATATTGGAATAATGTTTTGATACCACAAAACAAATATAATGATTTAAAAGAAAATGAATTTCTTTGTATGACCATTTTTTTTTTTTTTTGCAGGACCTAGGTACCTTTCGCCAACGCTTCATCAGGGTCTTTCGTTGGCAAATGATTTTAAACAAACAATGAAAATGAGAAGAACACCTCAGGTTGGTTCATTATTATTAATTCATTATTTACGCATTTATTTTAATCGTAAATTTATTTTAATTTTACGTATATATATCTTCGTAAGATTTTAGACGTGTTCCAACCATACCATTTTGGCTCATTCTCATTGTTTGTTTAAAATCATTTGCCAATGAAAGACCCTGATGAAGTTGCTAATGAAAAGGTACCTAGGTCCTGCAAAAAAAAAAAAAAAAAAAAAAAAAAATGGTCATACAAAAGAAATTCATTTTCTTTAAATCGATATATATATATATATATATATATTATACACACACACACACTTCTAAGGAATTGATTTATTTTTAATCCAACATTATTTCTTATTAACCTAAACATTTTTTTGTCTAAGTTTAAAGTACTCCAGATCAAATGGTGTTTTCCCCTACAAAGGAGGAGGATGTAGGTTTGAACTTTGCCAGAGAGCATGCTTTCTTTATTAAGTCTCTTGAATGTGCAGACTGCTAGACATAATTCATACTATTTAAAAGAAAACAAAAATACGAAACAAATAAAACAGGGTGTCTATTCAAACATGTATATCCACAAAAATAATGATTAGTGTTATAAGAAACATTAAAAAAAAATCATAGCTTTCCCTCTTGAAATGAGGATACAAGAAATGATACCACAACTGTTGTGGGCCTGCCAGTGATAAGCAAGGCCTGCATCAGATAGACATTTCAATTATCTTCAATGGTCTCAAGGAGCAGATTGGTGTCTGGAAGGAGTACCAAGTTCATGGCATTGCCTTCTCACCTTCACCAAGAGTTTATGGACTGATTCAGCAAGAATCTTTACTTAGAAAATCTCACAGCATCAAGAAAGCCCATCAGTAGCCTTCATTACCCAGTTATGGAGGTAGATGCCACATACAATGAGGGTCCATTTTAGAGAATCCCTGTATCTCTTTAATGTGGCTCCTCTGTTGCAGAAATCAGCCTGCTAAAGAATAGTTGATGTTTGTTTTTTTATCTCTTTGATGCAGCAGTCTTCCAAAGTTGAAGGTTCTGGTGCTTTTTACCACTTTAGTATTCATGATGAAGTCATTCCAGAAGACTGAGAATGATGCAGAAAGAGTGCTAGTAGAAACAATTGACGTGATGGTGGTGGTATATGATCAAAGATTCAGTACCATAGACGAGTGTGTGTAGCACAAGATTATACACACACACATCATATGTGTGTATATATATATATATATATATATATATATATATATATATATGTATATTACTACAGTCCAGATGTTTGAATCCACCACCAAAATTAACATGGGATGAATTTGACAGAAGAGTGAAAAAATTAAAAAGAGCTCTTAGAGACATTGAAAAAAGAATGGAATCAATTCTCAAACTTATACTTTGAGAGACTTTTGCAACAAATACTCAACATTAGTGCTGCAGTAATCAAAGCTAAAGGAGGATATTTTGACAAGAGCAAAATTTAATAAAATGCTTTTTGCCATAGTAAAATTTGTAATAAAAAAATCATGTCTTCTTTTTTTAACAATGTATAATAATTTTCTCTTATTTAAAATACAAAATAACTACTTTTTGACCCAATTTAAAAAATTACCGGGTGTTGCCTCAAACTTTTGAACTGTAGTGTCTGTGTATATATATATATATATATATATATATATATATATATATATATATATATATATATATATATATATTTGTGCTACACACTCTCCTCTATGATACTGAATCTTCAGTCATATACTAGCAGTTTCAAAATTAATTTATCCAATCTTTACAATCCTTGATAAATTTATATATAAGGTGTTTAAAAATTCATTGACTATGAATAGACATATATTTCATACATTCTCTGAGATCCTCAAGTAGCAGTAAATAAAATCTATGCTCAAAACTGAACTTGCTTATAAGAGTAGTACTATGTCAGAAAGGGCTATTTATACAAAATAGGGATTGTGGACTTTACAAATATATTGACTGTAATGATCACAGGACTTGAAAGACTTGTCCACCTAGGACACTAAGCTCAAACTTGAATTTACTATTTAATACTTAAGGCTAACAAAACCCTAAGAGTTATGCCACTCAGCCTTAAATGAGAAATGAAAAATTCAATTAAAAATGATTTCTTATTATAATGGTGCAGGGATGTATTAGAAATAAATATACCAATGGAAATGTATTATGGAAGAAAAGATGCTTAGAGAAGGGGAGGGGAACAGGAGGGGACAATGTGACATAAAAAAAAGAGAAAGACCATGAAACCCAGTGAATGAAAAAGAAAGAGAAAAGAAATAAGAAAAAGTAGGAAATGAAAGAAAAAAAAGAAAAAAAAAGAAAAGAAAAAGAAGAAAAAACTTTAAAAAAAAAAAAAGGAAAAAATGAAAAATATAAGAAAAAGAAGAAAGGAGAAAAACAGAAAAGACATTGAAGAGAGAAACGTCAAAAGAATGAAAAAGAATTAAACCAATCTACTAAAAGAGAGAGAGAGTGTGTGTAGAAAAAAAAGAGAGAGAAACCTAAAGATAAATAACAGAGAGAGAGAGTCACTGGTTAAATGAAGATAATGGACATGGTCAAAAAATAATTATAATACACAGTGAGTTTGACAGAACAAAATAAAAGTTGAATGAAGTGGGAGAGAGTTCCACAGAAAAAGATTAGGTGCCATTATTTTGTAAAATAAAAAAACAAAAGTTTCCTTTATCATCCAACAAAAATGGAAAGAACATGTTTTTAGTTTTACACACACAGAGACACAAACACCTTGACAGATTGACATGAAATGAATCTCAATATAGAAAAGAGATTCATCAACAATGCCAAAAAGATTTTTTTCTTGTTCCTTGTTTGGAAAGCGAGGAGATAAAAATATCACAGTAATTTCAGAAAAGCATTCTTAACCAATTAGTCAATACATGAATGCAACCATAAAGCAAAAATCTTATTTTAATAATTTTTCAATAAATATAATCATGAATATTTTTTTTATATATACATCCTTATAAACTTGGGGATTTTAATCGGGTATGGAAATTACTTTATCAGGCACACATACACTCAACAATAACAAACAAAACATGTCACTTTATGTTTAACTCTTGCAATGGAAATCAAACTACAGGGTGACTGAAAAGTAACCCCCTATTTTATGTATGATGGACTCTCCTGTCTAACTATAATTTTTACAAGATGGGAGAGTCCATCATTCATAAAATAGAGAGTTACTTTTCAATCACCCTGTATATTTCTCATCCTCCATAAAAATTGCCCTCAGATTAACAATTCCGAGCTATTAAGCATTACACTACCCATACATCCAAGATTATAGCACCTGGTACTCCCAAGTGGTCACCCAGGCTTGACATTGCTTAACTTTGGTGATTGTGAAGGAAATAGTGGCACAATGTGGCTGTAAGCCCCATAAAAATTGCTAAGCACACTTATTAAATGCCTTATTATAGAAACCATTCCTACTTTAGCCAAGTTCAAGACTCACTGTGTGTCTCCACACTTGTATCATAATCTTAAGTGGTTAATAAAAGCAGGAGCTCTTTTAAAATGGGGGGAAGGATCTTGATATGAGATTAATGGGGGGGTATTAGAAGTAGGAGGGGGGGTCAGAAAATCAGTTAAGGGGTCAAAAGTGAAAAATTAATAAACAGAATAGTCTTAATAGGATCGTTGGCAAGGGGTCAGAACCACCCTCCACAATAGAAATAATATAAATAAATGTCCCACACTTTACGTCTATTAGGCACAAAAGAGTGCTAAGCCAACTTTAGTAAATATTAATAAACAATTATTCTTTGTCTCCAGGATGTATGGTTTTCAAACAATCTTGTCTATAGATTTACTACTTCAAATTTTATTTTTAGTGGATACCCACGTCAGAAATAATACATACTGTTTAAAATAAAAAACAGTGGTGGTGTCTATAACTAGTCTATCAGTTTACACACTCGAGAAATCTTAATGAAGAGAAAGTACTGCCAGAGAGCACATTTTCTTTATTAAGATTTCTTGAGTGCGAGTGAAGTGTACAGGTCTATAAACATAATACACACACTTTTTAAAATAAAAAATGGGCGTCTATTTCAAACACGAGTATCCACTAAAAAATAATGTTTGAATTAATAATCTTGTCTATGGAGAGATAAGATAATATTAAGAAAACGAAAAATTAAAATGATATAGTTGGCAAAGAGAGCAACAGCGAGAAATGAATATTTTAGCTAAAAAAAATAATAATAATCATTGTTGGGTTGTTGTCACCAGGGATAAATAGAAACCCCATTATTCTAGTATTTAAAAAAAAAAAAAAAAAATCACATTTTAAACACATTAACACATAATTTCAAATCTCACGGCTTTCATTTTGATGCTCTAACTCCTGAATTATGACAGGAACGAGGTGTACAAAACTAGGAGAAAAGAAGATGCCTCTTTATAAAAACATTTATACAAGAAGCATTTAAAAGAAAAATTACTGAAAGCTAATTTGCAATAGCGTTATTTGAATAGGAGCTATTTTGACAAAAGATATAAATAGATACTGCAATAGACAAATTATGATATGCAAATTTGGTTAAACCCCATTATCGTATAAATCATGTCTAAATGAGAAAGATGATTACATCTTTTAAACCCACGGTTCCCAAAGTGGGGGACATGCCCCACAAAGGGGCAATTAGAAAATGAGTTATTAACAATGAATTTTTTTCTAGTGAGTGTATGTGTAACTAAATTCATCGTTGGCACCAGCATCCTCTTGCTTCATTCCCTTTCTCCCCTCAAGTGGCAGTGATGGAGATAGCTGTGAAGGCCCAGTCTACTCCTGAAGAGTTGTGAGACAGGAGTCACAGAGGACTGTGGGTGGCGAACAGGGCTGGGCAAGTCAGGACCTCCTGATAGAATGTTGGTTCAGCATCAGATGATCCTACGTCAGAAAGGCCAATTTGCAGCAACGGTTTCCCCAGGTCTCAGGGTCAATATTCACTTGCGTCAGGGATGTTTTCAACTGATCCTTGAACCGTTATTTTAGGCCTCTGTGTAGCCTCTTGCTGCTGATGAATTCTCCAAACAAATATGTGGGAGTCGAGTGGGACACATTCTGGACATGTGGCCTCCCCAGTGAAGACAATATTGAAGTATTGATTTTCTAAGCATTAGTTAGATGTGGCACATGGCCGAAAGTATGGGGCACCCATGGAGGATCAAACTCACTAATGAGTCCTAACTGAATTAGCGAGACAAGCTTGCTAATCATTATACCACGTCGAGATACCCAAACAAGCATAACTTAGATGTGGCACAATGCACAATGTTTGGGGGCACCCAGTAAGAATCTAACTCACTACTCAGTCATAATTGTTTTAGCAAGACAAGCTTGCTAACCATTACACTGCCTCGAGGTGCCCCAAGACGATACTGAAATAAGTTAATACATATGGTGCATATACACTATGCATGTATAAAAATATTTATGTATATGTATGTACATGTGTTTATGTTATATATATATATATATATATATATATATATGTCTGCGTGCATGTGTGTGTATATACATATCAAGGAAAAGCTTAATGCATCACAAAAAAAACAGTAATAAATCATGATTTCTTTCAACCAGTAAGTCTCACTTATATCTTCAGTCTGATGAGAATTACTGGTCAAAATAAATCATGATTTATTACCATATTTTTGTGCTGTGTTAAGCTTTTTCTTGATGTGTATCTTATTGCTCTGTATTCTATACATTGAGCTCTCTACAGATTTATCTTTTTAATATTTTATATTAAAAAGAACCACTTTGATTATCCTTTCCACTTACGGATCTGAGATATATATATATATATATATATATATATATATATATATATATATGCACATACATATCTACAACCCAATATTTTTATAAATATTGTTAAATCCCAAAATTAAATGATAATACTATTGCATATATGAAGTCTTCAATTCTTAAGGAAAGAAGTTGATAGCCTTTTAGGCTTCCTCTATTTGAATAGGAATTCACATTTTGAATAATAAAAATTATATTTCATCAACATTTTAGAAATGCTTGATTTTTTGATTCCTGAAGTCATAAATTAAGACAAAACTTCCAACAAGCAACAATAAGATGGAGAAAAATTAAGAAAATAACAAATATTTTGAGAGAAAGATGAATTTAATTTCTTTGGCCATTACATAGAAGCAGAAATAATTATTGCAGTGTAGGTCACCAGCTGATGATGTGCATCAATTTTGATAATAAATATATATATATATATATATATATATATATATATATACCCCTACAGTTCTCTTTATTATGCTCTCTTTGGTAGGATAATATTTTAAATATACTAAATAAACATATATAACAACATAATAATATTATTATTATTATTAATAATAATAATATTATTGTAGTAGGAGATGGTAACCAACATACACATAATAAATTTACCCCAGAAACCCTAATAAAGAAAATGCGTGCTCTGACATGGTTTGAACCTGCACCTCCCTTTGTAAAAGAAACCACCATTTGACCTGGCATTCCTTAGACTACAATTTTCTAAAAGAAAAACTTATAGGTAATCACTGTAGATCATTTCACTGCTATTTAAATACTTATTCTTTTCTTATTACTATATACATTAACTTTAGTAGGTGTCTGAGAGTGTATGTGCATATATATATATATATATATATATATATATATATATATATAATATATATATATATATATATATATATATATATATATATATATATATATATATATATATATATATATATATATATATATATATATATATATATATTTATATATATATATATATTTATATATATATTATATATATATATATAATATATTATATATATATATATATATATATATAAATGAATAAAGACAAAAGAAAACTTATCTTAGCTGATGTGTTCCATCCAAGTATTTAGGCATAAAAATAAAATTGTTAGTTTTTCTGAATTTTTAAGTTTAAGCATGCTCATAAATATACATCAGGGTTACTGAAAGTCAGTGGTAATAGAAAAATAAATGAATAAAAATAAATAACAAGATCAAAATTTTACCATCTCTATAAAGAGATAATAGAAATTGCCAGGCAAACAAAGCCATAGTTCGACCAACCAATCAGAAAGCTTTCACAACCAGGATTTAAAAAAAGAAATAAATATATAATAACAAGGAGACCACTATTTCACCGTCTCCAAAAATTGATAGTTCAACCAACCAATCAGAAAGCTTTCACAACCAAGATATACAGCTGCAAGCCAATGATAAGCAAGGTACATTTTTTTGAGACAGATCTATAGATGTGTATATTAC